TGAACCGGCTGAACGTTCGTGAAAGTTCTGGACGAACGCGCGCATGGTAATCCGATTCTAACCTTCTAACCTCGTCGGAGCGAGCGAGAAGAGAGAAAGAGAGAGAAGACGTTCTTTGAACTCGATTCGTTTCACGATGTCTGCGATTGGACTTCCTCTCACTATAGAGTTCGGGTAAGATCGAGAAAATTGGAATTTGATGCGGCGATAATCGTCGCATTCGTCACATCGCGTACGAATCACGCAGTTTGTTGAATGTTCGCAGAGGTGGAGCAGAGTTGCTATTTGATGGGAAGAAGCGGCACGAGGTGGACTTACCCGGTGAGGAATGTAAGTATCCTCACGTATTAACTTGTATCCGTTTGTTTCGTTAATAATAACCAATCGATTCCGCAGGGACGCTGAAACGATTGCTAAGCTGGCTGCGGGATAACCTCTTGACGGAACGGCCCGAGCTCTTCATGCAGGGAGACACGGTGTAAGTGTAACGTGATCCTACACTCCTTTGATGTTTGCGGCCGCGAAACAAAAGAACTTTAAAGAATTCTAATAATGCAATATCCGCAATGTACTGCGCTGTGTTAATCGAACTGCAGGTTTACTTTGCGTATAAACGCGTCACATCAGTCACATGAAAGCGCACAGTCCGCAAATGAATGGGATCGACCGACATCGTAAATGAAGATGGCCGCATACAGATATAGGCGCATATCTCACGCCAGTCACATGTGCAATGCACAGATGTCAGTATCTGTAAATCTGTACCTTCCGGTTAGAGACACTATGGGCGGTATTCATAGTCGATTCTTATATTCAAGACCGTCTTAAGTACAGTCTTAAGATGTCATGAACTAATCAAAGGATCGTATTAGCATCTTAAGACATTACTTAAGATGATCTTAAAATAAGAACGGACTATGAATACCGGCCTATGACTACATTACACCGTGCATTTAGGCCGCGGCCTATACAATAGATGTCCTTGTTTAGTCTGTAGATTAAACAAAGACATCTATTGTATAGATCGCGGACTAAACGCACGGTGTAAACGTAACCTATTGCTGGATTCACACTACATTCGATTTTTGTCGTACGACG